GCAATACAATAAGAATACAATACTTACCTTCCTTTCCTAAGGCCTCGCTTTAACATTTCGAAAATGAGATTATTCCGAGAAAAATTAGTCTATTCCAGAATCATCTATCGGAATAAAAAAAACAATGTATACGAATCTTACGTCGCACAGCCCCTATTCTCCGGCAAGAATTTTACCGGATATCGTACTGTGCATGATATACGCTCTGCGCCTTTCGGCTAAGCCACCCACGTGGTTCGAAAAAAAAAAAACGAAGAAATGAAATTCGCCCAATAATTCTTCTAGGCAGAAACTTCTTTCTAAGTTCGCCAATCTCAGCTAAGAGCTTGGCATTTAATTCTCTTAATGAATCATTGGATTGAGTGCTTGACATGATCAATAAAATTTTATACAAAAATGTGAATTATTCAATGTTACGTTGCGAATGTAAAGACGAACTTTATTTACAGAAATAAAAAATAAATACAATGATCGGGACCTTGCCCAGGATACATGACGTCTATGTTAATATACATGAAAGGATAGTAGAGCTAACAAAATCATTCCTTGATATATTTTTTCGTTCTAGATCTCGGAGAGTCATCAACCTCTACCCTATCCTTCAAACAAGCCAACAATCACCTCCATAACCTTTTTAACACCCCAGCGAAGTTCCGCATCATCTTTCGGTAAGTACTATGTGATAGTCGCCTTTCGAGCAATAAATTCTTTCCGGTGTATACATGAGGAAGTACCAGTCCGTAGCTATGTAGCATCATAGAAAAAAGTTAAATTAGAATCGTCTCACACCTCCAGCTCATGTAGTGTAGAACTAACCTGTCATGATGATTCCATAAAGGTAGTCGAACTCGTCATCAAAGCTTCAGAAGCTTTCCTTTTTCTGTGTGGTAGGAACTTTCGAGTTGCATGACATTCTATGAGAATGATGAGTTATGTGGACGTTATAAATAAACCATCCGATTTTGATGTTGCTTCGGCTAATAATTTTGCATAATAATCAAATAACATATAGTAGTTATTAAAACTTGTTAAGCAAAGGCAAAAGAATAATATTACGAAAAATATAAGTAAACCCGGATCCAGTTGAACCAGAGGATGTCAACCATCACCAGTTTCCACCAGTTCGCCGTCTGATGACCGACACGAAGCTTGGTGGCCTACCTTTACGAGTAGAAAGTTCACCACCTGAGGGTAAGTGAGGCCTTTCTAGTCGCACCTCTGCTGACCGATCACCCTTGATGGCAAACCGGCAAACAGGACTGCGTTGAGGAGGTCACCGTCATTGATGACCGGCATGATATCTCCTCTTCGCACTTCCAGGCATCATCCACCGTCCTTGATGACCGGCATGGATGAGTGGGTAAAGTAAAAAAGTCGTGATATACATTATAGGTCATAGCAGATTATACTTCGAATTAAAGAGCTTGTAATATCAAGTGATAATATTAATAAATTGACTTCTGTAACATGCTTTGAAAAATGAATTTGAAAATACACAACAGATATAACTTGATACAAAAAAATATAATGAAATTCAGTATTATTCTAATTCGGGAATCTTTAATACATGACGGACCGTCGTTTCCTTTGGCCGAAGTACAGACCGATTAATATTTTTCATTAATTTCTCCTGTTTTGTGATTTCGTCCTACAGAAAGATACCAATATATCACTGTATGAGTGGATATATTGGAAATATACCAGGCAACCAATTTAAGCACATACGTGAAAGATAGCCATCATTCTAAGGATGAGTTTGTATTGATCTCGGCCATTAAAGCTGAAAGGCATAACGGCAGAGGCAAGTTCAGTTACGAGGAAACGGCCATCGGAAAGCATACTTAATGCATATAGAGTTAATCGAGCATCTGAAAAGATAGAATCAAAGTATCAGTTAAATGCAATCACTAACGCAAACATAATAACGCATTCTACTCACTGATAGATTGGATACTATACACCCTAATTTTTGTTGCAAGACTTATGCTACAATCAAGGTGATTTCGTAGTACCGTGATCAAATTTAGAATATCCGTTCGCATGGTTTTCTTCGCGTCACCCATAGTATGTTTCTCAGTTGCATTACATGGAGGACCCGCGACCTCCATGTGAAATACGTCAAAGCCATCGGAAATTCTTGTTCCCTTAACGTCTACTCGAACAATTCCGGAGTTTGTAGAAGACTTCATAATCTTTGCGGCGCGAGCGTGCGATTCGATCCAATCGAATTCAATTGAGGAAAACGTTCTCTCATAGAATTTAAATAACGAAGAAACCTGATACACTATGTGCTTACGCTCGCCAATTTTTCTGTTCATTGTAGGATTAACGTCCACGAGGTGGTAGCTAAAAGGAAAAGAATTGTCAGTGATAAAAGTGATAAAATTAATAGATATTAATGTCTACTTACAAATCGATGAAAACTTTTTCGCAATATAATCGAAAAAGTTTATCTTCAAAGTCCGATGATTTGTACTGGGCTTTATTTTTAAAAGTTTCCTCATTTCCATCGAGGACGGTATCAATATATTTCTCCAGTGCAGATGTCCACACTTTAGGATTAAAGTCTCGCACGGTTAGCATCTCTCTAGCAAGTTCCTCTCCTATTTCTTCTGTCAGATCCTCGATTGTTTTTCCAAATGTACATACTATAGAAATGCCTTTGATATATCTGTCAAGTGAAAAGAACAAACACTATTAGAATGTAAAAATGGCACGCAGAAAGCAGAAGAATGAGACTTACTGTTGGAGCTCTTCTTTCTCAAAAGGTCTCTTGTTAGGCGTTTCCAACAATGGTGTTAGGTCCCGAAAAGTTTGCGGTGGAGTTTGTGGAGTTCCTGAAGTTCCTATAGTCGATAGAGTTCCTGAAGTTTCTGACGTTCCTATAGATGAAAGAGACCCTGACTGTAAATGAGCTTGAAAGGCATAGGTTCTTGTTTTAAGGTATACCGTGTCCTGCAGGGTTATAATGCGTTGAGCGTTGTTTGAAACAAATTTGAATGCTTGCATATCAATTTACCTCAATAGTGTCATGGAGAATAACTGATTGCCTATGCACTGATTTGGCCGCAAAGGCATCGGAAAAGTAAGTTTGACACACTTCTGTTATTGCTAGTCCGGGCCTAGTCTGTGATATCCCAAGTTTTGTTTGTGTAAGGATTCATGTTGTGTACTCATCAAAAAATAGCAAAAATACTACACCTTTAACCATGCGAGATAATTAGAGCAGAAAGCTCTGACTGGACCAGGCGTAGCAATGAGTTGATTTAGTAAAGTCAAACTCTCAATGAAAAGAGTATAGGCCTGAACGAAACTAATCCCCGTCTCGTTTTCAATTACATAATAAACGTAGTCCTGAATGCACCAAATAGAAGCCTTCCGCTTCTTAAAATAATCGTGAACATTATATACATCATTGCTGCAATAAAATTCAAAATGTTTTGTTGCTAAGAGTCTCGGTTCGCGATCCATGATGACAGAATAAACTTTGTGAACGACTGAACGTCCATCAATTATACGTCAATATCTTAGTCACATGATTCTGATCGTTACCCAACAAAAATATTTAGGGGGGTGGGCTCATATAGTAGAGCCCACGGATTCGTGCATTTGCATAATTTCGCATTTATGCACTATAATTTCGCATCACACATGCATCGCACTTTTAAGGCAATTTATCGGTTTTTTGCATTTTTCACGTGATCTATTATGTATTGACCATTTAAAGAATAAATATTAATTGATTGATCATCGTGATTATCTATATTTTTTTTTTTTCAAAATGGTTTCGGCATCAGAGAGATTATCAAAAAATTCTCAATTTAAAATTCATTTTCGTTTAGAAAATAAAAAATTATATTGTAAATTTTGTAATCA